CAGGAGAGGACTCTTTAAAGTAGAGACACTACATACTGATATACACCTGAACATCAGCAGGATAGGACTATTTAAAGTAGAGACACACTGATATACTTTAGTTAAATATATTCTTCCACCATTTATTACAAGTATATTTCAGTAAATCAGTAAATGTCCTTAGAGGACACATCCTACTCTCAGTATTTGTAAACACTAAAAAGTCTGAAGTGTGTGTGTGTGTGTGTGTGTGTGTGTGTGTGTGTGTGTGTGTGTGTGTGTGTGTGTGCTGGTGGCTGCGCACATGCTCAGTTGAGATTATTTTAGCGCACGGAGGCTTTAAGAGCTCGCGGCAGCGGGAGCCGGCAGCAGAGGACCGAAGAGAGAGAGAAACACCGGGAGCTTCGCGTACAGCTGGCCCAGCAGCGGTGCCTCTCTCTCGGATGAACGAGCACCGTAACACCCCGCCGCCCTCGGCTCTTTGGCTTGGGCACCCGGAGGTCAGGCGCATGTGCCAAACGCTTTTACGCGCAACTTAAAGACTCTTTTTGAATATAATTGTGTTCTCACCATGGGGCTTGGAAAAGTGAGGGTCTTGGCTATATTATTCGACAGCCTGAATGATAACAACCTGCCCGCCTTCTCTGGGGGGGATCTGGTGTCTGGGAGGGTGGTTGTGGAGGTGACCGGGGATGTGCGTGTGAAAAGTCTGGATGTAACCGCACGAGGGGTCGCAAAAGTCCGATGGACCGAGTCTAGAAACACCGGGGCCAACACGGCTTACACCCAGAACTACACCGAGGAGGTGGAGTACCTTCACCACTACGACACCCTGATAGGAGAGGAGAGAGGTAAGCGTACATGTGCAAACTTCTCACAAAACTTTATTAATAACAGCGAGTCGAACAGAGCCCCCAAACCTCCATCAGTGAGTGGTGCTGATGCAACAGCTGAGGCACTCCGCGGCGCTTCCCCTCACGTAAAACAAACTCATGGATCATCACATTTTACATGTTAGGGTGAATAAAAAGGCATTTTGTGACTGATGTAAGACACGTTGAGGTGCTGTTAGCTGCGGGGAGAGAAGTTGCGGTCCACGTTTGCGTAAAAAGGAGCGAAATCGCGACAGAATCGGAAATACATTTAGTTTTTCCGCATGTTTTTTGCAATATTCACTCAAAGTAAAAAGGGGAATACACATTTTAACTGAATTCATCCTGAAGATAGGCTCGCTATAAGGCAACTCCCTTTGTTCGAAGCGGTTCAAACCTGTTCAGAAACTGCCAGAGAGGAGGGGGAGGACCCGGCTGAGTGTGTGTGTGTGTGTGTGTGTGTGTGTGTGTGTGTGTGTGTGTGTGTGTGTGTGTGTCAGCTGATTGTTGAGCCTCTCACCACATCCTCCTCCACCTGTGTTCTTTTCTGTTTTCACTTGTTACATGAGATGCACGTGATGATCCAGAGGACAGTTACATTTCATTGAAACCCTCCATTTGACGTCACTTCCCACCAGTTTAATACTCCCAGTGTGAGGGTCTCTGAAATGTCAGTGGGATCATTTAAGGACACGTGTTGTTGGACCTCATGAAGAAGAAAAAAAGGGAGTTTCCGAGGAGGATTGAATGTCTCTATCTGCAGACTGAACGCACTTCCTGTCAGAGTTTTGTTTATTATCGGATGGAGATCAGGGTAAAACGTTAGGAAGTAAAAAAAAAGGTTTTAACTTTCAGGGATCCTTTTATTTAATCAGAAAATGTCCATTTGTTGGCTTTTTCCGCAGCTTTTGGTTGTATTCTAATGGATTAAAACAACACATATTCCAAGTCTCAAGGTAAATGTTAATGTAAAGGGACTTAAATACATTAGTAAAATAAAATGATTGGATTAGGGTGGAATAATGGGTATATATTACAATATTTAATGCAGAACAGAAACGCCACAGAAGGTTTATTTTGTGTTTGATTCATTAGAATAAACAAACAAATACAAATAATTGTAATAATTTACAAAAATAATACAATTTCAAATAAATAATAATACACAAAAAACGTATTATCGCTAATACTAATAATTAAAAAAATAATTGTGATTATAATATTAATAACAATAATAATTAAAATAGAGAAACAGAGGTGTACAAGTTAATTTCTGCATATTATAATCACATCATGCGTTGGACATCCTGTACGACACCTGTATTAATGGCTCAAAAAGTATAAAGAAATGCATTTATATGATTCATCAAGAAAGCTGACAAGGGAAGGACGCAATTTGCAACTCTGAAACATTGGTAAATAGTTTATTTATCTTTCAATACAAAACTATTTACCCTGTGTAAGTGTCTGCAATGTGACACAGTTACAAGCAATGATAGATAAGGGAAATACACATGAACAGGTTTTCCTTCACCCATGACACCTGTCTGTCACGTGTCCATTGAATCATAATGGTGAAAAACAAACATCATGACCGCCTTATGAGCACAACACGTCCTTGGCCACTCCGACGCTTAAGGTCCACCGCATGCCTGTACTTAATGTGAATTTGCTGTAACTTGGCGGAAAGCTGGCCCTGTGTAATGTCGTTCAAGTCGTGAGGGAAATCCTTCTCTGTCGGGGTCCTCAGATACTGCGGCCGAGATATGTCCCCTATCTCGCTATATTTAGACTTGCAGGACTCCCAGTCAACATTCTCCTGTATTTTGGTAGTTTTGTAGTCTAGTGTGACCATAAGCAGAAGCTCTACCTCGTCGTCAGTCCACGAAAATTAGTCCTTTCTTGCGCGAATATCAGCCATCTTCGACCTTGTTTGTTTGTTTGTTTTTGCCTTACACATCCGGGGGGGATCTTATACTCTCTGCTTTTGGTGTATTTCATGGCGGAAGTTACTACGCCACTTACAGGCCCGGCATATGTACTACAGCGTCTCCAGCGGTCTCATGTAATGAGCCGAATGCGTGTGAACGGAAGACTTTTTTGAAAACGAATACGGTGCGTAAACGCATACGCTCCCGTTTCGTTCTCGTGTTAATGGGGCCTAAAAATAAGGTCATATGTAAATAATGACCTTAGTTTCCATTACACCGTTACACAGAAAATGTAACTGCCATCCCAATTAAGTTAAAAACGAACGACGTGATCCATATCAAGGGTTTGTTTACGTCATTTTGTGAACATTGGAAATACATTTATCAATATCGGACCCCAGTAGGAAGTTTGTTTCACATTACAGCAATAACTAGTCACTTGTATTCTCAATTAAATGGAATTAAATGTCCGTCACAATTCGCTAAAACCTCCATGTCACGAAAAATATAACAATATATTTAGTTTAATATCAAATGAGACAAAAAAGTGATTATTTTTTTGGCATTTCTGCTGGAAAAACTGAAAATATGAATTGATTTCTCTGCAAAATACATGAGTATAGTGTCTTCCCTTTTTATCACCAAAATCTATAAATGAATGTCAAATAAACCCTAAAGTGTGATAAATAAGCCCATGGGAGTTGATAGAAACCTGCAGAAATGAACCTTTTGAAGAGATTTCTATCGTTTGTACAAGCTGTTTCAAAGTTTAAGATGTTAAAAGTGTAGAAAAAGATATCAAAACGTAATGCTTATTCCTGTTTTCTTTGTGTATGTTGTATTGCTTGTGTTTAATGTGATGAAATAAAACGCTGTGAGTGTGAAAGACGTTTCTCTCCTGTCATCATTTATTCAACTTTGCGTGAGTTTTCTACCTGTTAGTATCAGATGGAAGTAAATGTCGTCGTCTCTTTCCCCCCCTCTTCATATCGTGCAACACACCACATGGCTGTACAAATGTGGGGAGGGCTTGTCTGGGCTGAACCAATCAGATCGCAGCATGTGATACATTATCACACTTCTCCACCAATGGGAGGTCACGTTGGAGTGCATGCGTTGGGGTTGGAGTTTCCAGCTGAAGAGGCTGCTCAGGCTGGTTCATACCGGTCTGCTCCTGCTGAACACACACACACACACACACACACACACACGAACAGACACACGCACACACGGTGATGCAGGCTGAATGTGTGCTGAGGTGGCAGGAAGTTTAGCGGAGACATTTAAACGGAGAAATACAAACACAAACAGAGAAATGAGGAAGTAGACGGAGGTCGAGTTTTCTTTTGACCACAGGGTGTGTTACTTCTGCTTCTGATGCAGGGGACATCGTTGGTTTTACTCAAATACGGCCATACAAACATGTGAATTAAGTCGTTTTGTTGCCAAGTAGGTTTTCACATGCAATGTTAGTGCAAAAAAAATTGTTCAAAAAATAAAAGCAGAAATAACTAGAATTAATAACAATTTAACTAAATTAAATAAACGCAAAAAATAGCAACACAATCAATAATAAAATAAAAGGTATAAAAATACAAAATCTCATAAAAAATAAAATATTAAAAAAAAATATGAAATAATAAACATTTTATAAAAAATATATGAAGACAGATATAGCAAAACATACAATACAGATAAAAAATAAAATAAATAGTAATTATGTCAGAAATGACCAAAATCTATCAAAAATAAAATAAAAGCAGAAATAATAAAAGTAGAAAAAGAAATGCAAATAAAAACCTAAAAATATTTCTGAATTAAAATGCCAAATCTGAACATCCATGTTGTTTGCTTTGAACATCCATCAGTGTATCTGGATATAAAATATATAACAGCAGGAAATCTACATATTTTAAGGAGTGACAAACTGCAGTTTCTGGTCATTTCTTCATGAAAAACGACTCAAAACGAACCATTACCTTTGCTTTCTTGACTTTAATCCTCCTCTAACAGGTGTAGATACACCCTCTGATGTTCAGTGATGCTGTGTGTTAACGTCACGTGATATTTATTACATACATGTGTGTTTCTAACCTCCAGACGAGGACTGTGCGGAGGAGGGTCTGACTGTTCTGCACGCCGGTTTACACGAGTTCGCCTTCAGCTTCAACCTGCCTCAGATGTGAGTATTATGGTACATTTACTCAAGTACAACTTCAAGGTACTTTCCTTCAGTGTGTACATGTACTGCTACATCATACCTCTCCACTTGTACTTGTACTGTTCCCATACTTGTCAACCCTCCCGATTTTCGCGGGAGACTCCCGATTTCATTGCCCTCTCGCATTTCTCCCGATTTCTGACAAAATCAGATTTACACACGACTGTTTCCACTCGGACTTTAATACAGCTACACCATTGTTTGGTTTCCATGGTAACACGGCTCTTTAGTAGCGCGCGCAACTCAAAGTCTGAGAGGGTGAGGCAGATAGTCACAGAAAACAGAACAAGAATCGACAACTACTCTACTCTCTGCTCACTCCTTTCCTGTAAAATACAGGTCCAGCCCACACATATGCTCCATCAAGGACAGTGCTACAGGCCGCAAGGCAGTGCACTTACAACTACAATAAGCATGTTAATGTTAATCTAACAGCTCCGGCGATCCACTAGCTGTTTTGTTTTGTGTTTTTTATGCTGCTGCAACGCAAACATTTCCTAATTTGGGATCAATAAAGTACCTCTTATATTCTCTTAAAGATCAGACTTGGAAAA